CCGCGAACGCGACGAAAAAATTTTACTCGTCATAAAACGATAAATAGTTTGTCAAATTTTTATTCATAAAAATGCAGTTTCAACTGCTTTTTATTTTATAAAATCCGTCTTCTTGCGCCACTAGAGGGCCTTTTAAACACTAGATAGTCTGTTAGCGCTGGTCAGTAGTAGTCCAAATTCAATAGAAACATTTGTTTCTTGAAAATTTGATTACGATTTAAATACAGTATTTATTTTTAATATTACCGATATGTCATCGAAAAGAAAACGTGTTGTATTAACATTAAAAGACAAATTAAATTATTTGTTTCGATTATCCGAATTTTTCCTTATCCGGACTACTTTCATCCCCAATTAGTCCGGATAATCAAGGCTCTACTGTATTTATATTTCTTATAAATATAAATATGTCAAAGTAGCATGAGCTTAATTTAAATCAACTTTCATTATTTGTATACATTGAGATGATTGTGAATAAATATAAAAGTTAAGTAAAAATATTTGTTTCAAATCAATTATAATAATATTAAGAAAGAAAGAAATAATTCAAAATTCCAGTTAAATTATTAAAATTGAAAAAATGCGAAATTAATGCTATAAGCAAAGGCATACACAATAGGATTTTTGAAATTTAATTTCTCCCATTAGGGAAGTATTAAAGTATAAGATTCTATTAAAGATTAAACAGTATGTTATATAACTTTTCTTTATGTTATACCCATTTAGTTTCCCTTAGCCTACCGTATTGTGGTTCTCTATAAACTTAGGTTGTTAAAATTAATAAACTATATTATGAAATATATTTTATTATCTACTCTTAACGATGTGCATTTCGGTTTTTAACCCCTCTTCAATACATGCTAAAATGGATGAAAATATGTAATCCCTTACAAAATGGCGCATTAGCTAACAGGAAGAGAAAGAAACAGGAAAGTTTCCTTTTATAATTAAGAATGTTATACATATGTAAACATTGCATGATATTGTTTTCCTCACAACGGATAAAATTACTGAATTTCCTGCTAGACTTAAATTCTTTCATAAAACTTTTCAAAATACAAAATATGATAATCTTGCAAGAAGTCTTACTCGAATTTCCCGTCATTCGAACAAGAGCTTAAAAATCCGATAATTTTCGGTTATACAAGAATATAAAATTTAAGTAATAACAAAAGTTTAAAAGGAGTAATTTTGTGAAGTTATGAACAAAAATTTCTCCCTTTTATAAAAATATTTAAGTTTAAAAAAATACTATAATACTAGCTTAAAGTTAAAATTGTATGTGGCACTATCTGTTACGAGATGTTATTTAAAAAATAACTTTTATGTTATTAATTATTTTAAAAAATCTAAAAAGGCTTAATTTGGAAGGTAGAGATGAGCATTTTTTAAAAAATTATAAATGCCAATAACGACTAAAATTCTCATTAAGTCCAGTCCCACTCGAGATGTAACATGTGACCTTATCTATCTCTCCATCCTTGACCTCTAACCACCAAAATTTAATTACATAAATTCCAAATATATAGAAATGTCACTGCCAAGTTTTTGGTTTATCCAATCCTGAGATATTTTGCGGAAAAAAGAAGACTGGGGAGGTGAAACTGATTGAAGACTGATTGTATTATAATTTCCGTGCGTTATTTTTTATAGCAGTCAAGTAAAATACTTAAAATATTCAAATACTGTATTTAGCAGTTATACAGTTTAATAGAAATAAAAACTATATTTTGAGTTAATAGAAATTTTACGAAGAATGAATTTATATGTATTGAACTATGAGCATTTGAGCACTGTTACGATGGCAAAATTACAATTAAATATAATTAGGAAGTCGATATAATAACTAATTTCTCCGATTTCAATCGAATGACGTTAACGCGATACCCGAACAAGAATATAATTTGTCGTTTTTTTAATTAAAAATGATTCTATAAATTAAAAGAAAATCTCTGTTGGTCGGAATCTATCTCAAAGCGTGCAATCTTGGGATTTTGGACTATTTGACTCGGAAAACTAAAGTGGGAAAGATGATTGGATTATAAGACACTTTTCGAGATATAAATAGGTTTTTACAACAATCGTTGAATTGTAAATTTTTGAATAGGATAAAAATGGTCTTTTAATAACGGATTTAGCAAACTAAATCCAACAAATCTAAAAAAAAAATAGTGTATTCGAATTTGAAATGTCAGAAATGTATTTTTTTTTTTTGCGAAAAACAAGGATCTGTTCCTTAGAAATACGAGACAACTCGACTCGAACTAAAACTTTTCCTTCTAAATGTATGCAACATCTAATACTTTTTAACCGTAATATTTTCCGAAATTAATTTAATGTTAATCATATAATAGAGAAAAAATTTAAAAAGGAATAATAACAATTTAATTTACATTAATTAAAATTCTTAGAGGGCGTAGTAAAATATTTTTTCCCTCGTTAAACGTGGGAAATTGCGAAATTCGCTAGATTTAGGACTGTAAAATGTAAGTTTAATTCTTTTTCATCTTAGCTATGTAATTAAATGCTTAATATAATAATATATTTATGAATATAACGAGAGAATTAAGTTTACTTTATTATGTAATTAATAAGGTGATGCCAATGGGTAAAATTAGCCTCCCCATAATAAACGGACCCGATTAAAAATTGAAATTAAAATATAGCACGTGTATATAAAGACTGGAAAAGACAACAAAATTATTTACTTTTTGTAATTGATGAATTTCGAAGTTCTAAAATTGAGAAGCCCTCTTCATTTCCGACAAGCGATGTTAATTAGATCAATGTATCATGAATGTAATTTAGATTTTTGATTGGAAACCCTTCTTTCTCTCAAATACCAAGAAACGATTCTAGAAGGAATGGAATACACCAGGAGTTCTAACCAGAACTCTATTGGTAGGGAGCACGATTCACTTGTTCTATCGAAGCCAACTAATTTCATTGGAGATAAACGATACGCGATTACAGAAAAGTATTATCTAGTATTAATCGTTAAAATTTTCAAATACATAAACTTTTATATAATTTACATAATATATTCTATTTTCTATTGAATAAACTCGTATTTTAACTCTACATCGTAACGCTGTTAGCTGTTCTGTTGATGCAAATTTCATTTTGATATAAAAAGGAACATTATTTTGGATTCGTAAGATTATTTAAGAAAGTCAAATATAGAAATGGAAATTTCTTTTCCTACATTTAAAAAAAGTTTTCAAAAGTGAATATAAGATCTTTTTCTTAATTTAGTAAGAAATATTGAAAATTGTAAAATCAATAAGATTAAATTGTTTTAAAACATCGTTTTCAACCCAGAACTGCAATATAATTATAAAGAATAACCGTAAAGTTAAACTCTTCATCCAATTAACTGTAGACAAAAGTCTAATCAAGGATGTATCTAAGTCCCAAGTAACGACATCGGTCTATTCTTTTAAACTTGAAGGCACAGCATGTTCTCGACAGATTTCATAGAAGCTTATCTTAACCGTGCTGACCCCAAATTCTTTGTGCTAAGAGGTTCAATCCATGAAAGAGTTTTATCCATTCTTCTTAAATAAAATTTTAAATTTCGATTAGATGATTAAAAAATTATTTACAGTATAACTATGAAAATTAAAAAAAAGTTCTTGATGTAAAAGCTTTACAATTATTTTACTAACTAATCTTCTGGAACTTGCTAATTAGAATTGTCTGAAAATCTTTTCGTATTTATTTGAAAAAGTTGAAAGATTGAAATTTCGTGTTTGCTCAATTTATTTTACTCGTGAGAAATTTTAAAATCACTTATTAAATAAGTTTGTGTGTTAAAGAAATTGTTCTAAGCCATGCAAATATTTAACTATGTAAAACCATTTGCAAAATAAAGAATCTATTGAGAAACAAATTTATTCATTAATTCCTTTTGTCAACGATTTATAAAAAAATATCCCTTGCTTAATTTCAAATAAATTTGAGATTTTATAAATGAAAACGTAGTTAAATCGAATAGGACTATTCGATTTAATTAAGTTGCGTTGATTCGAGAAGGTAATTTTTATCTATCTGTTTTTGCTAAATTATTGATAAGTTCTAAACTGATTTCTAAGTTAGAAAGAGATATTATTTGACCTGAATATAACAAAAATAAATATCACAAAAACCAAGAATTGCAAAGCTGTTAAGAATATTTCGAACTGTTAACTTATTCTTCTATTAATATCAAAAAATTGCATTTACTCTTAACTATAAATTACTTTTACTTATTAATGCAATTTTTTTTAATTGTAGCTTTTGATATTAATTGTTGCCAAGAGTTATCGGTTGACTTATGTACCGCATAGCATAGTGTTTTCGGCCCGTTATGAATTTATTATCCTGCTTTGGAATTTTGCCCGAAGGAACCATTAGAAAAGAGGGCTAGGCTCAGTTCCCCACCTTGAGCCCACAGCTTAATCGATAGTAGGGGGTCGGTTCTATCGTCTAGCCGCCTTATATCTCTAGTAACCTGCTAGATACGCATTTGACAGTAGGAGGGAACTTACGTCACGCTAGGAAAACAGAGAAGTATCCTGTCGGGATTCGATCTTGGTATCAAACTGTACCATATCTTTTGTCAAACCTTTTTTGCTTTTCGATTTAGAAGATGTTAAACTTTAAATTCCCAATTTGTGATCTGTTTTGTAATTGTATTTGTTTTTAATCTCGCTTTCGTATACTGTGTTCTAGATTTCTAAAGAAAATTGTTGTTCTAAATGCATGAGTTATAAATTAAGATAAATAAAACAGCATTTTTATAAAGCAAGCAAATGTTTTTCCAGTGTTGGTTTTATATAATAATAATAATAATAATAATATACATTTCATATTTTATCGATATTATTTACAGTGTAAACATAACATATTAATTATACTCGTGTCTTGTTTACAATGTATTGTAATTTGCTCATAAAAACATTATGGAATAAAATTTATTTAAGTATAAATGGATTTCATTCCATACTTTGTTTTTAAATTTTACATTTTTCGTTGTAGAACATACTTTTTGGCTCTAAAATGTCTAAAAAAGTTATCACTTATGGTATTTTTGAATAACTTTTTTTTATATAACTTATACAGGAAAGATATTACATTTTAAAGTAATGTTCTGTCATTGTTTATATCATTTTATGATTTATTCCGAAACATATCTTTTCATGTTTAAAAAAATGTTATTTTATTTTAAGCTATAAATATGAAATAGTGAATATAATGCATTTATATTGTCGTTTTATCTTGTATTATATTTAATAGAAAGGACATTTTTCTGTTGAATTAAACGATTTGAAAACAGTTGATTTCATATTTTTGGTTCTTAAATGAATTTAGATGTACTTTGATTATTTTCTAATAAAAAATATAAAGAAGTTTGATATCAATAAATCGATCTTTTGATGGTAAAAACCACTTCGACTGTAGAAGAAAATAATAAATGCTTATATAATCAAAGGTTTAAATCAAAATCAAAAGAGATCGTCAACATCATGAAGTATTTTGTAAGGATTAGGAGGAAGATATTCGTTTTTCTTCGTGGCCTCCTATCTCATATGTAGGAAATGAACAGTTATGAATCACATTTAATCGAAAAACGCTGCAATTTTGTATAATTTTAATTCAGTTTCTTGATTTATTGAGGGGGGAAACGATGTATGTTATAATTGATGATATTGCGTTGATTTCTCGATAATTTATTATATAAAAACTTCGTTTGAATGTAGTAGATTTAGAATATAGTATGGTGATAAACAATCTAAATGAACATGGATAAGATATTAAATTTCAATTCTTCAATTTTGATTAGTTAAGCTGATTTTTTCTTCTTCTAAATCGAAGATCATTTACAAAATTGTTCGAAAACAATAGGAAATGTGTCACGATGAAATTAAACTAAAAAACGTAATATATCAGTATCATCTTACCAATGATCTGCAATGTAAATATAAAATGTTGGATAACTTGTCACAAATGCTAATATATGATTTTATTTTTCGTTACTGTGCTTAATATAGACACAATATTCGTATATTAGAATCATCGATCTCTTTTCGTTTAAGAATTGGTAAGATTGTGTTAAGTTTCCCGGGAACGAACTGAGATTAATTACAATATGGAAAGTTTTATTAATTTACGAAAAGCAACTTTCCAAGTCGGTCTTTCAGTTTTAGCGTTAATTTCAAACAGGAATGATTTATAATTTGTCTGCAATTCCTTATGATGCAACATTTAATATGGTTGTTTTGTTTTTACATCAAACAAATTGGCAGGGATACTTTTCTAATTGAAAAAATACTATTTGGTTGATTAAAAAATTTTTTAAATTTAGAAATTGCGGTCGGTAACTTTATCCTATTTTCGTCTGTTCGTTTTAAATTTATAGCTTTCAATTGATAATGTTTGTTGAAAATTTAAACGAGAAGTATTCAGCTTACACAAAAATGTGTATGTTTTTATATGTTTAGATTTGTTCTTTTTTCAAAGTAGACTTCTCCCTATATTTTTTGTTTTTCTCTATTTTTCGGATAAATTATGTGTAAAAACTACTACTATATTACATCATTTTATACTTGTATTTTATTGGATTGCATTAGAAGACATAATATGTTTCTGGTGCAGCGAAATAAAATATAAACGAACATGTTCGCCGGATTCTGAAGGAACTTCAAGTGACTCTCAAGAAGCGAAAGTCTGCTCCAAACTACATGACGAAGCAACTTGCTACTCAAAAAACCCTTATGTGGAAACTACGTGATGGAGTCTTGAATGCATCATACGGACGACGAGTCTTATTTTACTTTTGACGGAAGTGAATATGCTGGTAACAATCACTATTTCACCAAAGAAGGGCTAGATGTAGATGCTGAAGTCAAATTAAAACTGCACGCTAAGTTTTCGCCGAAGCTTCTGGTTTGGCTGGAAATCAGTCCAAAGGGACGTTCACCATCATGGCTTCTGTTGGGGGAGAAAGATGGCACAAGGACAAGACTCTAGGAATAATTGACTCGACGCAATGATAACACTAACAAGACTTTATTTCATGTCTTAAACATCGAAGAGGTGAACAAGCTTTACAATTGTTGTGAATCACGCCACCCGTTGGACACCTGACTAGAATTGACCTACTTTTAGTAAGGGTAGGGTGACAAAAATTCCTCGAAACTTTCACTACAAATATTCGCTACAGCTTCCCATCGCCAAAGAAGTATGCATCAACGAATGCATTTAGAAAAGAGTAATTCTTTCCTAATGGAATAGTGGCCTGATATAGGATATGTCTTCTAGCCAGACATGGCCATTGCCCATTATGCTCATGACACAGTTCCAAATTTGACCATTACGGAATTCGATAACACTTCAGTGAAGCCAACGTTCCAAACATTCCGCAATTGACACCGATTGAAAGATTTTGATACCAACTGAAGCAAAAAGTTTACGAATTAACTGATTTAGTATGTAGTCATATTATTTAACGTATTTGAAAAGTTTAGATTTGATATGTATTAATTAAAAAAAGTGTGAACACGTTTTCTAGCTAGTCTTCTCAAGTCTTCTATCCTATTAATCGAGATAAAAATAGTATTACTGTTCTATTAAGTGTTTTAAGATATGTAGTAACATTTAAATCAAATACTCTTAAACAATCAAATAATTTCATGTGTGTCATTATTTAATTGTAAAATTAAAATTTTTTCTTTTAATATTTGTATATATAGGCTATATAGTTGTAGTGTTTGTGAAATTAATAGGCGAAACTTATATTCCGAAACAATTTATTGAAATTAAATACTATCGAACATCACAGTAGAGAAGTATAACAAGTTTGTAATTTTATTGAAAATTGAATTAAAAAATTTATTCTGGAAAATTTAAATTAATGTGATTTAATTGCATTATTATTGCCTTTTTTCAGTTCATTTTAATTTCATTAATTGCAATTCCTTCCATAATGAAAATTATTTATTACTATCGAATATAAAACGCCTACTTTGCCAAATATTATAAATTTATTTTATAGTATCTTTCACACAAATATGAAAACGTCATTGGGACTATGGGAATTTTCAGTTAACAACCTAATGTATGTTCTCATAGCAACACAAGAAGTCATTTAAAAGAATAAAATTGGATTTCATATTTAATGTTATTCCCAAGAAAATATATCATGATATTCTGAACTTTAATTTTTGATAAATGGAAGAAATTCCCGAAAGACTTCATTAGTCTCAAAATATAACTAACAAAAGTTTATTCTCAGTTGATACGTTATTTCAAATTAAATATTAATGTAAAGAAAATTTAGTTTAATTGTCATTTCATAACATGTTAAAGCTATATTTTCAAATATTTCATGCATGATAGAACTAGTTTTTTTCAATAAAGGAAATTATCCATAAGATTATAAATGCTTTACCTAACAATCCAAAAACATCTAAACAAATGTTTTAAAAATATTTATTAAATTTATTTAGTTTTGAAATTACTCTTTCTCAATTATCAGAATGTCTTTAATTAATAAAGAATAGACACACGCTTTAGTAAATTATAAAGTTTTCTCATATTTATTCTGAACGGTCAAATTAGATATTAATTTAACCACATACATTTTATATTATTGATTTAATTTGCTTCGAATACGATTTTACGTTTTGTTATAATTTTTGTTTTTCTGTTATATCGATAAAAACGGTGAAATAGGCTTCTAAACAGTTGTGTTTGTTTGTGGCAAAGTGACAGGTGGGCAATCTGCCGAGAGGGAATGCCTCCCGGAAAGGGTTCTGTAGTAAACTGGCCACTGTTTAGGTTCTACAAACGTGAAGAAAACCCGGAAAATTCCATGTGGCCAGTCCGTTGGTGGGGTGCGAACCCATGATCAACTGCCAATGTTTGGTGGTGGTGTCCACTCAGCCGCTGGTGGACCTAAATAGCAGTGAAAACTTAAAACTGTAATAATTACGTAATGATGATTAGGACGATAAAAATTTATAAATACTAATGATGATTATAATGAAAATAAAAAAAATTATAGTGAATATATTTTATCTCTATATATTAAAAAGTCCCGCAAGTCCCTTTCTTTTTCTGCAGGCATTATGAATATCTTTAACAGATCCATCACGGCTTTGGTCTGATTCTCCGCCGGATAGTGAAGGATGAGGATCAATATATATATATATTCGGGTTGAATATCTGTTGGAATCATGAAAATTTCTGATGATCTCACTTGGGGCCGTATTCTGGTCACTGTCTCTCTAACAAGTTTGTAATTTTATTGAAAATTGAATTAAANATTAAAAAAAATTATAGTGAATATATTTTATCTCTATATATTAAAAAGTCCCGCAAGTCCCTTTCTTTTTCTGCAGGCATTATGAATATCTTTAACAGATCCATCACGGCTTTGGTCTGATTCTCCGCCGGATAGTGAAGGATGAGGACCAATATATATATATATTCGGGTTGAATATCTGTTGGAATCATGAAAATTTCTGATGATCTCACTTGGGGCCGTATTCTGGTCACTGTCTCTCGTCTCTCGTCTCTCGCAAGCCGGTCGCTGATTGGCTAATCCAAATGATTTGCCAATCAGCGACCGGCTTGCGAGAGACCAGAGACAGTGACCAGAATATGGCCCTTGGACTCGAGATTGAATCCCTTAATGCATTAGGCATACACTTTAATTGTAATACATGAGTATCATCATTATATGAACGTTGATATCGCACAAAACAAATGCTTTACAACTCATTTCTTATTTCTAATCGTAATGGTGATTTTTTTTTTTCAATTTTCTCGTCGTACGGGCAATAAGAACATCTTTTTTCATGCCATCTGACAAAACAAGAAGAGAAATACAGTGAAACTTGTGTAAACCGGACTTTTATGGTACCGAATATTTTTCCAATTTGACAGGTTTCCGTCTTATTAAGGTTCCGTTTCAGACAGGTTTTACTGTATATATAATATATAAAGTTGCAATTTTTAATGGGTTATTTTTTCGCGAATCATTTTTTCATTAACATCAAGCTCTTAGTATGTGAAAAAATTATCTAAAAACTAAAACGGATCTGAAAAATCGAAATTTTACGGCATATAAGGCACACTCCCATTTCAACACAGAATAAAGAATATTTAGGAAAAACTATTAAGTGTGTTTAGGCTCGAATACCAATGGCGCGGAATGACTGAATTTTTATTGTATTCTGGTTTAAAAGTAAATAAAATTAGAGTACACACTTTATCAGGAAAAAAAGCAGTTTAAAAGAAGTTATTTACAATTAAAATTTACCATTAAATTATTCACCGTGCAAAAACTACTTGGCTATAAAAATATGTTTAATCAAACAATAACATTTTTATTCAAGAGTTGGGATAAATGGTTAGAGGTTACATCGTATTGAGGCCTTTCGGAGAATTTATTAGCTTGTGGAAAAATCACAACTTCACATATAAGACGTGTGGTGATTTTTTGAACCTTTATAAGATTTTTTGAGCGGCATATATGCCATAAAATACCTATAATATATGATCTACAAGTTTATAAAGTAGGCTTATGGAAAATTGATTTTTCTGCATTGTACAATATAAATGCTATTTACGCCAGCATTATAAAACGTGCAGTAAAAAGATATTTTCACTGTTTATATTGATAATAATTAGATTACAGTAACTGAATGCATAAACATTTTTGTCTGTAGGAAGCTTTATGAATTTTTAAGATTGCGTCAGTTCTCGTTCGTTGTTCGAATATTTTTTCTTAAGAGCTGATGTAAAAGATTATATTTTACGTAATAGTTTTTTAATAGTAATTTATTTATACACTTTAGCTCCAGTTGCGCTTACATATATTTCTGTACGAGTTATCATCATATAAGTATTATTCCTAAATATATTAATAAGGAAATATTATTGATAAATGGAAGAAATTCCCGAAAGACTTCATTNTTGTTATCATCATATAAGTATTATTCCTAAATATATTAATAAGGAAATATTAATATTTTATAAAGTACAGTAGTTGAATCTCCAGAGTTATTTCTTTACCGATGTTGTTAATAGTGGTAAAAGATTTACGTGGAATTCTCGGTTGAATTTAAGATGGTAATTAATCAAAGTAATCAGTTTTAATTAACGTTTTTATAAAATGCAAATTAAGTAATATATAAATTTATTTGGCACTTGTTTAAATTTTATTAGTTACGTTTCATTAACATTTATTATAGAAATAAGAACTTTTTGTTATTTAGCATTTTAAATATTTGTAAAAGCTATAAATGATTTATATGCGATTAATAGACATTTTATTAAAAAAAATTATATATATGAAATATAAAAAGAACTCCTGAACCAATTTACCATTGTATTTTCTTCGGGCGATTTGACGCTCGGAAATATCTTTATGACATATCGGAATTTGTCGTCATAACAACATCCGGCAAGTATCTTTATCCTGAAACTCTTCCAGCTATCAATGCCTTCGAGACTTCCACTCGAATGTTATGATCTTTCAATTAGACTAAAGAGTATTCTATCCCCTGAGCGATCATAAACTTCAGCAATTTACATTCGATAATGTTTCCGGTCGTTTATTCACGTTTTATTGAATCCTTTCATACAATCACTATACTAGCACATAAGTGAAATGTTTTCTTTTTAAACGTTTTCTCAGTTTTTCCTTTTTAATATCTAGGGATATTAATTCCATGGGGAGAAGGGTGACGCAATTAAGTACAATTGCTGTTATTGGATGCTACATTTTTTTAATTCATCCTGTTGAATCTATTAAATTACCTGTTCGAAGAAATACGACTTTTACATGGACGACAGGTAATGATTTATTTGTCACTAAATAATGTTATTCAATTAAAATTAATTATAATTACCATTGATTTAGGACGCTGGGGAGTATGTTATAGCTACGATAAATGTGGAAAAGGCGAAAAAGAAAGACACGTATCTTGTTCCGATTCTGAAGGTTTCCGGACATTGGAAACAAATTGCGATATTAGCACAAAGCCGCCAACTGTAACTACTTGCTTTCGAGTATGTGACGAACATCGAAATCAATTAAGGTAATTTTTAAAAATTCTTAAAAATGTACAATTTAAGTAAAAGTTCTTATTAACATTTGCATTGTGCTGTAACTTACTCCATTAATTCTTGTTTTCAGATGGAGAGTGGGAGAATGGGGGCCTTGTTTATCTATGGAAGTTAGTGAAACATCGAACATTTGCAGGGAAACAACTGGTCGTGCGGTCAGGACTGTTACCTGCATCTATACATCTCCTGAGGGTATCAGTGAAAAAGTGGAAGGAGCTGCATGTGCTCGTTTCGATAAAAAGCCAGATGACACTTTGCCATGCAGCAAAGATTGTCCTCAGGATTGCATCGTAACAGATTTTCAACCGTGGACATCCTGTAATGGATGCGAAGCTGTAAATCGCACAAAATCCAGAATTGTTTTAGTTGCACCCAATAAGGAAGGTCGGATTTGCCCACCTCTAAGTATTATGGAGCCGTGTTCAAATATGGCTGCTTGTCTTCAGCGTCCATTACAGAAACCACGTTATTTATTAAAAATTGGGCGATGGAGTCCGTGTATTAGTTCTTCACATTTGAAACCAGACAGTATAAAAACAAATTATCAGCATCGTCCCGAGATTGGTCAGCGTGTGAGAAATATCACCTGTCTGACTGATTTAGGTGATATCGTCGATCTCAGGTATTGCAATTACTTTTTTCGTTATTACATGGAGATCAATTAATCATGTAATACTGTATGAAGTATATTATATATTATTATTATTATTAAACTGAACTACAGAAATGATTTTGTTGATTTTATAATAATGAAAAAATAGAAATTCAATTCTATTTTTAGACGTTTCTGCCTACTTTCTGCTTAATATGTACTGTACAGTGCGATTTTTATTTGAAAATAATTGAATGTCACGAAATTTTCTTTTTGTTCTAAATGTAATATGGATTAAGTTATTAAATTTGATATTGAAATATCGTTGCCAATTAACTAGCTTCCATACGAATAATCATCGATTGATGCAAGATTGAAAAATAGATATTAATAATTCATAGATTTTTATAATCAAAAACAAGATTTTTCAACTATTGCGTAAAATATTGAACTGATATAAGCCTAATTCTTGGAATTTAAAAAGATCTTTTAAATAAATTCAAACAGTACAAGTTATATATGTATTTACAGTGTATATACAGGGCGAACCAAAAGTAGGTGGACAGTATATGAAATAGGATTTGTGTTAGGGTTATACTATAACAATGGTGTATATTTAACTTGGTTATGGTTGAAAATTATATCAGAGATGATTTCAAGAAATTAATACACAAAGATACTTGTGCAAAAATGTTTGTCGAAGAGTGAAATGGTGAAATGTAGACAGCATTCAAAGCTGTGTAAATTGCGATGGACAGCAATTTGAGCACCTTGCGTCGATAAAATTGTATTTTGTATTAGTAAATATAATTGTATATGTAATCTCAATAAATGTTATCATTTTCTGTCCACCTACTTTTGTTTCATCCTGTATATTCTGTATATCAAATACAAACGAGATATATAAGTAATAATAATAATCATAATAATAATAATAAGATAATAGCGAGCAATGATAAATTATGCTTAACTATAAATGATATCTCAAATTTTATTTTCTAATATTCCTACAAAATGTTTATTNCCTGATAACAGCTAATAATCGACACTCTGCATCTATAATTTCTGCTTAATTGAAGATTATTAAATAGACATAAGCTTTGCATTTAATTTTAAATTATAATTATTTTTATTATTACGATGTTCACTTAAGATTTATTATCACGTATCTTTAAAATTAATTACAGAGAAATTTTGAATGGAAATGATTTGATGGAAATTAAACTAATTTGAAAATATAACTTTACCTAAAGGAAATTAACCGGTAACAGTTTAATTATGTAAGAATTTGGACGTCAACTTACAAAGTTGTTTACGAAAACAGATGTAATTGTGCTTGAATTAATGAATATCTAAATAGTTTAAAAAATGCGGAAGGTATTATTTAGAATAAAAGGAAGCCGTTATTTAAGTTATTAATAGTTAACAGGATAAAAGTAGCGCGGTTGATTATTTTCGAATTGAAAAGAATCATTACAATAAAGAGAATTCTCGATTCTTTAATGTCGCTGTAATTATCGTCAGATGCGAAGATGAAGACCTTCCAGACTATTGTCTCCTTGTGTCTCTCAACTTCACAACTCGTCATTGAGAATAGTGAATAGAGTCTGAACGCGACAGTTTGTGCAGAGTTGGCTTCCAGACACTTTTCACTCAACGGTCTGCCACCAGACAATAGAAACAACAAAAGACTTTTCCATACTCCCTACCTGATAATTAAAAAGATGTTTCATGACCGTATAATTGAACGTAGTTAAAGTGGAAAGGAAATTGGAAAAGCAATCTTCTTTCCTGTCGGTACTTAACCATCGTTTTCGTCTGTTTTTGGCAAGAATCGATTTGGAGACCAAAGAGTTGAATCGTTCGAAAACTGCTGCTTGTTCAGCTCAATGGATTTTGCGATTATCGAATATTGTAATTAAGGTCAATTGCTCTGCCGCAACAAATATATAGACGCGTTATTATAATAAATTACAAGTAAAATTCGTTAATTTTGAGCTAATTTTTATAAATTGGATTCAATTGAAAAATTATTCATCGTATTCAGTAGATGCGATTTATTAAATTTTTTTCGCGTGTTTTTAATATGAATATTTTAACTAAATATTATTTTAAAAATTAGGAAAATTAATGAATTTATCTTAAAAGAATATTGAAAATGAATAAATCTGATACTTTAATGTTAATGTTAAATGAATAACTGTTAATGTATTATATATATATAAAGAAAATATAAATTAAAATTGTAATTTTATATATTTTTAGCTTTTGTCAACATAATTATAAAACAATCGAGACTGTACAGAATTGCATAGTACGGGTAAATTGCGTTTTAAGTCCGTGGAGTGAATGGAGTATTCAAGAAGAAGGTTGTATTACTTCTGAAGGACGAATTGTGCCAGAAATTAGAACTAGATCTAGGCGGCTTTTGAAGCTTCCAGAAGGGGATGGTTTTCCATGTTCTCCTCTATATGATGAAAGAATTATTACCTCCGGCCTTCCACCTTGTGATAAGTAAGATTTTTAAAAATTTTTAGTCAATTCATATATGGTATATCCTATTTATAAACAAAATATTTACTGTCAAGTTTAAATTTTATATTTATTAATTTGTGACAGTGCATTTGATAACGGATCAGTAGACAACATTTTCGATTTACAAGATGATAGTTACCATTCCTTTTATTACTTTTATTATTTTATTAGACTATTAAACAAGTATGAGTGTTATAAAATTTTTTGAATAGTAATTTAAAATAGACCGTTTTATAAACATGTTTGATTAATGACAACTTCTCGAACTGATATATTTTTTCCTGTAGTTAAATAATATTTAAATAAATATTCACATATTTTCTACGTCTATACATTTTTCTAATTTATACATATTTATTTTATAAATTAAATATTTTGATAGTGGTTTATACTGCACATGTTATGCTAAAGCCCGTGAATTGGATAAAGCTAGTATTAATCGGCTATTGCTAACTTTATCCAATCGTTTGATTAAAACAAATAACAATATATTTTGACTTATTCTAAAGAAGACAGAACCAGCATATGACCCGTTGCAACTGTTAAACTTCTAAAATGCGCCTTATTCAAGTCACTAGCAAACAAAACTAATATTATCCAAAAAAAACGGATGGATGAAGCAAGAAAAACTTTGGGCTTTATCCACATAATGGAAGTCTATCCATCATTGTTTAGATGTTTCTGACTTGTGAGTATAAATGTTGCATTTTCCTTGGCATGAGCATTTTGTTTTTTAGCCACCGTCCTATTCCCATGATAGTGGGAATAGGACGGTTTTACCAGAATCTTAGCACTGTGTTACCAGGGCGGAATATGTTACCAGTGTCTAGCAATTTATTGCGAAATTTTTTTCAGTCTGGTATTATTTTTTCATATTTGTGATAAACTTAAAAATCATTTGTAAATTCCAGAACCACATTATATTAATAAACATAATTGAAGACAGACACAAAAATACGCTTCTTATCGAATACACACACAATTATGTGAAAACATACTGTAACACTACTTTTATTTGAGGCCAAGTACCTCAAAAAGTGCAAAAACGTTAAAAGCTTCATCTTTTTTTTTCACTTATATTTATTACTATGATTAACCCCTGGTATACGCCATTTAAGACGTATGTACAGATCGGAACTCTATAAATCAAAGTACTTATTTTTGTTACATCAAAGCTAAATCTACAATATTTGTAGCTTTAAAACTACGATATTTTTAGTTAAATCTGGTGATATTTTGGTGAAATAACTGGCAACATTTATTTTCGTTTAACTCCTTTTCTATGCAATAAATTCTAGCTGATTTAAAAATATCCTTCTTTACCCATCCAATCTGGATTGGAAATATGTTATTGTAAATTATCCGGCTAAAATGAAACCCAGTTTTTCTTTTGTTTTATCCAAAATGAGTGGATAATGCCCGAATTTTAAGTTTTGTTCTTGCTTCATCCATTCGATAGTCAGCTGCTGTATCTACTTGTGACTTGGATTAAGCGCGTTTTACACGGATAAAGTTCAAACCTAATAGATTGTTACTTGCTTTATTCGATAAACTTGGATAAAGCAAGTAACAATCTATTAAGTTAGATAAAGTTAAGGTTAGCCGGTTAATCCTAGCTTCATCCAATTTGTGGGGCTGTAGCCGTAACATATATATTATTTGAGGCGATAAAGAATTGCTAATTTTAAATTTATACATGCAAGTTAGTTTCTTTCATGTATAAATTTAAAATTAGCAGTTCTTTCAGATCATCATAATTTTTTTATATTCATCATAAACTCAGTTTCGTCTTTAGGGTAAGTATTGGAAAACTTAAAAATTGAAATTACAACTGTTCATATTCTAAAATATTTTCATAAAAATTTTGCTCTTGTTTAATTTTAACCTTTTTAAATACGTTGAAGATTTTAAACTTAATTTAAGAATTTATAAGAAAGAATGTAATCGAAAATTTCTAAGGTGGGTCTCCCGCATTGCTGATTGTTTGCAGACTTAGCGTAGGTAGGTAAGCTGACGTAAAAACGCAATAGCCCAACATCACTAGCAACACATTATTGTGCAAGGAGCTGCCATATCGGTATTACAGCTTCTTGCATAGTATATGCAAACCTGTGATATAAGCTACGTAACAAAGCTCAATAAAAGGAAGGAAAGCCTGAACAAGAACATGCATTAAATTTTACTCTTCTTTATCTCGTAGCTGTTCATGTAACCTAGTATTTGGGTCTGATATGCCTGTTTTCTGTTTCATCCAGTGGTCAACTGCTTGTGACATTTTTTTACGCTGTTTACTTTTAAACTCTTATGGAACGACAATGGGGACCGGCAAAGAGTGAGGGATGGAAGCGCGTTAGTGTAGGAAACGACCTCCCCTTGCCGCCCGGTATGCTATATCCCTCACGCTCAAAATTATTTATGAAATCAAAAGTTTTATAAAATATTAATTTTATCAACTGCAAAAATTTATACTATTTATGCAGAGTATTTTAAGTAATTTAATAGTAAGTATATTTAATAGTAATAATGTAGTTGTTGACTCAGTCTAGCGATAGAAAATTAACATCAATAGCCTAATTTTATATATTGAGCACTACGTTATTACATTTTGTAATTATAGACAATACAAGAATGCGTTTTAAGAAAATCGTTTTCTAATCGAAATGCTCATTAAAATAAAGATTATCGATTTTTAAAAGCTTCGAAAACAAGAAGACGAATTCAATTCTGTATGTGTTTAAATGTCGTATCTTTAACATTAAAAAGCAATTTACTTTTTATCAACATATCAGTGCTTTTTATTTACACTATTGTGAATTTGCATGTAATACTACTGTATTTTTGATGAAACAATCTCTTCTTTCCGTATTAACATTTGTTATACCTAATGAGTTTTTCTTTACATTTTTATTTCGTGTTTATTCCTGTAATACAATATTCATTTCTGATGTTGCTGAGTTATTTATACTCGAATTTTGTCTATGTTGTCATTTTTCATCATTGTCATTTTTAGCATTTTCTGTAGTTTTTGCTGTTTCGATATTTAAATTCCTAAATAATCTGATGCTTTTTTTCGTTTGTTTCACTTTAATTTGAAATATATCCATCTCATTTTATAACGTATTCGTATTATTAATTGGAGATTACATTATTTATTTTTTTCTCTCGATATTTTCGACATTTTTTACATGTTAATTTATCAAAGGATTTTTACGTTTTTAAAATTTTTATATGGTTTCTTGTAAAGGCAGTAGAAGTTTTATTAGTAATTTATAACTATAATTAGCTTCCTGCAATTTGTTTACTTATTGTAAAACAGTGAGTGACTCATGTCAATGAATTATCTTAAGAAATTTTATATTTGATATTTGACTCCTGTTTTAAACGACAAAGAATAAAAGATACGAAAAATCATTTTCAAAGACGGGCTTTACAATCTGTAAAGTCAAAATATTAAAAAAATATATATATATTTAGTAATATTTAAAGAAGGAATACAATATTAATATCTTGTGTAGCATTTACAAATCACGTACAAAAATAAGAAAATTTTATATATAATTTTGATTTTAATTCTTATCAAATGAGATTTAACTTAGAAAGAAAGAAAGGAAAAGAAAAGACAAAAGATGAAAAATGAGATATCCTAGTTTTATCTGACTAAACAAACGAGAAATAGAAATGCATCACTTATATCTATGACTATCTTTTTGTTAAAATAATTATAATGATAAAATTAAAAGAAGTACTGTATAAGATGTAATTCTCAATAATAGGAATTCGAAAACGATTACAGATAAAAGTAATAGAATTTTTAAATAGCAAATATCTCAAAATCTTATTTATGATAATCCTAGAGCATGAATGATCTAGAAGTTTATACAGGAAAAAAAAATATTAGTATGATATCATGCAATGAAAACATTAAATTTACTATGATTTATCATAGCAGAGTAAGGATATTATTCTTATAGTGTATAATATATAATGTTATATAATATAGTTTATAAATATATTACGTTGCGAAATAAAATGACTAGAAATGTACGGAATCTGTTATTAAAGAATTTTGTATAAAAAGAAAAAATATCAATGTAAATCAGAATTTAAAAATAAAATACTTTCACGATTTTGATAGATTTGAAAGCCATAAAATTAATGTTTTCGGAGTTCTAAAAAGGTTGAAGCAACAATGAAAGCGCGATTACGAATAGCGAATAAACTAAAGTAAATTTATGTTTTTATTGTGTTTTTCTTGGAATAAAGCTTTATCTCAAATGCGGTTTTTACAGCAATGAAAACTATTTCTTGAAACAGAAAAATATTTGCTTAAACTGGATATCAATATTTACCAATAAAAACGTGTATTAAGAATTTTTTTCTTCATAGAAAATGAAAAAAATATTCAATTTAGTGCAGCAGAAATGGGTTTATATCTCGGATTTTCCTGTGACTCTGTATTAAGAATACAGTATTTTGATATTCTTAGATACTCAATTAAAAAGTAAATCAATTATCTTTCGTTGAATATATGAATTTAAAACAAGTTCCTCATTTGGTTTTTTTATAATGGAGTATAGAAACAAATTTTAATCATATTTGAAGTTAACTTTTTTTTTTCAATTACTTCAGTTCCTACGAAAACCAGAACGTTAGTTCACCCCATTAATTCTGTTCTTAAGTTTTTCATAATAAATTAATAAATTTAACTCGAAACCAATAATTTGTAATAACTACTTAATAAGTTTCATAAAACTTTTAGATATTTAAAATTTTTTTTTATAATTACATGTTTGGATTTAAAAAAAAGAAGCAGTTGATAAAAACAATTTCTTTATTACGTAATAAAAGGAGATTAGCTTACCCTACCATTATTTGATGAAAACATTGAAAGTTGTAAATTAATATTTAGATCTATATTCTTATAAATGACAGTTATAAATGATTATTTATAATGTATTTAATCGTCGAATTTCTTAATT